CACTTATGATAAACAACATTGTTTATTGACAAAAAGGGGACATGGATAAACGTTTCGGAATTCTATCAGATTCCATATTCTAATTTTATTGCAACATATTTTTGCATCCTTGTATAAAGTTTTTCTAACATTACTGTTTTTAGTTTTAGCAACACATTAATATATTTAAATTGTTAACAAGCCATGCCCTTGGAACTACTGTGTTCAAATCTATTGATTGAATACCAAAGTAAACATTTCTCGTGTTTATAAGTTCTATACTATCTAATTAATTGAGGAGGAATACTGTATATTTTGAAAGAATAGCTAACGTATGTATATATATGATATTTATATTATCAGAACCTCGGCTTATTTCTAAGTGTAAAAGAGAGTAACGAACTTTGATGTCAGATACAAAATGTAATTTTACATTTTATTAACTCTTCTGTAATTCAGTCGAATATACACGGTAATATTACATTAAATAATACCCTGACCATTTTAACTAATTAAAGCGCATTTTTGTCTGTATATTAAAGGAAATAAGTCTGAATTTATGGTTTTATTAAGAACATTATTCAAAATATAGTTGGAGGTTAGTAGCATGAAGGAAAAGCTTTTATGCTTATAACCAGCCGATGTGGCTTCTACCATTATCACCATTCTATCTGGCAGTCTGATACCCTTAATGTCTTATAATCAGCCCACGTGGTTTAGTTAACATCTACCATTATCGCCATTCTATCTGGAAATCTGATACCCTTGAGGTTTGTAACCAGATTATGTGGCTCAGTTTAACACCTATCATTATCACTATTCTATCTGAGAGTAATACACCGTTAACCTTTATAATCAACCCATGTGGCCCAGTTTAACATCTACAATTATCACCATTCTATCTGGCAGTCTGATACCCTTAATGTTTATAATCAGCCCACGTGGTTTAGTTAACATCTACCATTATCACCATTTTATTTGATAGTCTGACACCCTTAACGTTTGTAACCAAATTATGTTGCCCAGTTTAACACCTATCATTATCACTATTCTATCTGAGAGTAATACACCGTTAACCTTTATAATTAACTGATGTGGCCAAGTTTAACATGTACCATTATCACCATTCTATCTGGAACTCTGTTACCTTAACGTTTGTAACTAGACCATGTGGATTAGTTAACATCTCTCATTATTACTATTCTACTTAACCAGTGTAACCAGCATATGTGGCTTAGTTCATCTATCGTTATCACCATTGTTTCTGGAAGTCTGTCATCCTTAACGTTTGTAACCAGCACGTGTGGCTCAGTTTAACATCTAACATTATCACTATTCTATATGGAAGTATGTCACACTTAACGTTTGTTACCAGATAATGTGACTCATTTTAATACCTACCATTTTATCTAGTAATCTGACACCCTTAACATTTGTAAGCAGCCAAAGTGGTTTAGTCTAGCATCTTCCACAATTATCACCGTTCTATCTGGTAATCTGACACTCTAATTGTTTATAACCAGCCCATGTGGTGTTTAGCCTAACACCCTTAACAACACACAGATTTCTACGTCCCAAGGTTTACCTTTATTATTTTGTTCTTATAAAACTTGTGGGTCTTATTGTTTTTAATTCCTAATCTCACAGGGAAACAAAGACTTGTAGTTAATTGAGTGATTATTTTGTAACAAAATGCTTAATATGTAACGTATTGAAACATTATTGGCTACTTGAAGGACACATAGGTATAGCGATAACTCGTGAGTATCCACATTTGTTGTACAGTCTTATTTTCTGAATCTAACTTATTTCAAACAACATTGTGACGGGCCTTCTTGCAGTATATCACTTATAGCAATATGTTGCACTTGCAAATATTTACATCTTTTTCTATTTACTTCTTCTTTGTTTCATTTTAATTTTTAGATAAACTGGCCGAAAGGGAGCATTATATGCATACATGCTATTTCAAACCAAATATTTTGTTTGTTTTTTAACAAGCCGCTGTGTTTTAGTTTTAAGTTAAAACACGTTTGTGTAAAAAAAAACGTGATAAAAATATGTTCACCTTTGATTTAGAATAATATTCCCTGTAAACAGTGAAAACAATTAAGTTTTATGTAGAAACATTATTTTTCATAAAAATCATACCAACTTTTCTTCTAAAGCTTTTACTGTCATAGATAACAATATTTACTTTCCTTCAGTTACATTTCTTCTTTAAGTGTGCGAATTTATAATGAGCACAAGCCAATATCTCTGATATTTTTGTTGATTCAAGAATTATTCACAAAGATGGATCTTAGTTGATTTAATTTGCTCTTTCAAATGTTTTATATAGTCAAAATTGATTGGAACACTTTCGCAGCTGTTTGATATTCTGTACACGCAAATATATCATTAGAATCTACCCTTTCTCTACTAATAATAGACAGAGATGGCACATGTTTTAATAGATTCGCAGTATAAGATGAATTTAAAACTCTTCCAATAAATTCCAATCATAGACTGTTAAATAGTTTACATGGGGGCATGTGAGAAATACTATTTCTTATTGATTTATCTATTTTAGTTCATTTTAAGGTTTCTAGATGGCGTGTTGAAACAACGTTTTAAACCTTTTCAGATGAACAGTAAAAAAAACAAAAAAAACTATTCACTCTATAGGTCTGAAGTAAACAGAAACTGATAAAATAAAACATAAAATATCTTACTGAAAATTAATATTTTTATTAGGAAGTCACCGCCATGATGTCAAGCCTCATCTTGGGATTTTTGTAGGAGCTGTCACAGCTTTAGCTCTTCTGGTGATTATCATAGTTCTACTCGTAAGAATGAGAAGTGTTCGAGAAGAAAGCGATAATGGTAAGTTTAGTTTTCTTGTTTAATTTACACGTAATAAGAATGAACGAATTGATATCAAAATCATTCATTTGTTATAAACACGCTATTTTTTGCACAGAGCAAAAGAGCAATATAAATAATTTTTTGCTTCTAAAACTTAGAAAATAATATTCTTTAGAAATGAAACACAATTTTTATCGGTTAGTATTCAACCCTCGTATCTATCAGGCGTCGTACTTCTTATAATTTAATATTTGTTAGTATTTATGTGTTTATCACATCTTAATTCGTATCAGTTACTTTAGGTTTGTCACTTCTTGTATGTCTCACTCAGCCATAATCATATATAAATATATTTTTATTTTATTTAATATTTAGTTGCAAGGTATCTAGGCTTGTAGACAGTATGTATACAACCTTCAGAGTCAGACCTATATGACATTCAACCTTGATGAACCGTATAACCTTCAACCTTGGTGACTTCGATGTACAAATATCACTTAACTAAAGATAAACTACAACAACAATTACAAAGCATGAATCCTTCGCTATACAAAAAAAAAGCCAAACATACAGTCTTAAAAAGTAACACGACAGCAAAATAGGTTATTAGCATATCAACCGAATGAAATGTTGGATCCGGTTAATAGGTTAATTACTGGTTCTGTTTGTCACTGTGAAGTGAGTAATGCAACATAAACGGTAAAAGTTAAACAGCCGTTTAATGTGTGGAAACTATAGGGCTTACGAAAAATCAACTTCAGAAATGAAATCAATCAATCTAGAGATTACTAACTATTTTCCGTTTGGGACGTTTTTTGTGAGGCGACTAAAAATCAACAGAGAATATCTAGCAGTCTAAAAAATAAAACTCCTACGATAATACGGTTTTACACATACATGTACAATGTATTTGTAACTTTCATAATCTTAAAACATCCAGTCACCAAAAATATAGGATAGTTAATGAAAAACCGGGTGTGGCCTATTTCTTAGCATACTAGTAAAGACACTATTTTGTCAGATAAGAGTATCCCAAGAACTGTTGTTGACTAGCTGCCCTCCCCTTAATCTATGAATCACGACTATGATCTTTTTGGTAGCTTTTCGCAAATATCTGAAACGGATTAAACAGGAGAAAAGGAAAATGTTTTCCTTGTAGCACAACCGGTTAAAAAGATGAAGCAACTCTTTTTTGAATGTATTAGTGTTCAGAAGAAATTAACTTTAAAGGAAATTTGTTACATCTTTTCAGCTTCTTTGAGACCAGGTGTATTAAAATAGCAATAACACAAGCTTGAGCTTAACATTTGATAGCAGAACAGTCAGCGACAGTTTAACTATGAAGCAAGGTTGAGTTTAACAGAGAAAATAAAACAACCAGTAACAGGTTAATAATGAAACAATATTGATATTAACAGAGATAATAAACCAACCAGTAACAGTTAACAATGAAACAAGATTGATCTTAACAGGTATAATAAACCAACCAGTAACAGTTAAGAATGAAACTAGAATGATCTTAACAGGGATAATAAACCAACCAGTAACAGTTAACAATGAAACAAGATTGATCTTAACAGGGGTAATAAAGCAGCCAGTAGCAGCTTGGGCTTAACAGAGGTAATACAACCAGTAACAGCTTAACAAGAAAACAAGTTTGTGAAATTCAAGAGGGAGAACAAATTACTAACTGCGTGATTAAGAACAAAAACAAAGAAAAGTTAAACACATGTAGATTTAAACTTTGGGTAAAACGTTTTCTAGGTTTACAACGGGTAATTGCAATAGTTCAATTGTTGCGTCAACCAAGAAAATAACCCAGATTTAAGATGAGGTTCAGTGCTAGATACATTCTATAGTTGCCGAATCGTATCAAACGATATTATAATAAATCTAACTATTCCAACATGGATAGACGGGAAGTAAAATCGAAAGCAAACACGAAATTCAACAGACAATTAAGAGTTGAAAACTAAAGATGCCGAGAATATATCATTAGATAAATTATTAATATTATTGTATCTCTGTGTTCCCGGCAGCAGATATCAGTATGTTGGTTTCAATAAACAAAAAATTAAATATAATTTTGTTGCTTGATTTCTGCAAACCTACGTCAACAGTTGAAATAATGAGCGTTCTCTCTCTCTCTAGCCTAAAACAGTTTCACCGGGTAATTTATATTATAAAATATTTTCCGTCCAGATTCTAAGGTGTTGTTGATTTATTGAAAGTATTGTATTTTTGTTTTGCCAAATATGAAGACACTTACTTCTAAAGAAGTAAAAAGCTAAGAAAGAGTAAGGTCTGAAATGATTATGGTTACCTAAAACTCCGAAGATACCTATGACATTTACAAACACAAGAAGCATATATATGAAGTTCATTTTTAAATACAAGGAAGTTTGGTGGTTCATGTCGTTGTTGGTGGATTATGTTTTATATTTGCATAAAATAATGTGATCGTTATCCCCTAAAATATTATTTTTTTTGTAATAAAATATGTTTTTCATATTTCGATTTTTGGAATAATTTTAATATTACTTGTTAGAAATTTAAAAGTAATTTTAAATATATTCAATAACTCTAGTTTCGAGAGGTTTTTGTAACTTTGGAGCTTCATCTTCTGAGTAGTTGTGTTATTAGTTAGAAATGATCACGTGACAAACTGCATCACCTTTGTCAATCTGCTGGCTGCTTATTCAATCATACATAATTCACGTGTTATTAAATGGTTAGCCAGTCTTTTATTTTAAAACGTCTAATTCTGACTTTCTTAGGAACTTAGTTAATAAACAAAATAATCTTGGAATAATTTAAAACAAGGAAATGACAATCTTATCAAAAGTCCATTTTAGATACAAGGTCGTAAAAAGTTCCAAGTGTTCTCTATAAATTTCCAAATTATTTCATAATCATGACGTTAACGTGAACTCAGTTGAGTCCAAGTAAATAACACTTTTCTTATTTGATAGAGTTTTTAGATGACTATATCTTACAAACTTTACTAATTAGCGAAGATACGAAGATTAACCTACGTTTTTGTTAATGACATTTTAATTACTGCTCCTGTATCATAGTAAACTACGTTACGGGCTTTGATAATCCATCATCATCTTTTACAGGTAATTATGTTTTTTAAGAAGTTTCAACAACGTTTCTAAAGTTACAAGTTTTAAAATATCCCTATTAAGTAAATTCAGCTAAATCGCTATCTAGATGATTTAGGATTCTTAGCAAGCTGTTCTGCAAGATCTGAACAAGAAAGGAAACCCCGTAGAAATTTAGGATTAATGATATTATATAGAGTCGTTATTCATACTTCCGCTCACACCCTAGTTAAACACAGACACTTCCCAATCGAGTAAGGATAAGATATTTCTACCTAATGATATTTTGAATAAATAATAGATTTAATGAGAAAGTGAACGTAAACATATACAGAAAAAAAAGCCAAGAGAGGATTAGGATGAATTGTGGGTGAATAAACATATGAGAAAGTCAGTGAAAAATTAATGATGTTAGCAAGTATATGGGTTGACTCACTGATTAAAGTAGGTGTAAGTTTGATAAGGTGTGAAAATTAGATCTTATAAAAAGGTGAACCGTACGCGGAAGATGGAAGAAAAGAAATAAATTATATGGAAAACTTGCCGAAAGAAGATCATGGAAGATGATAAGGGAAAGGAGAGCTAAAGGAGAATCGAAGAGAAAGAGTAAATGAGAGTGATTGATATGAAAAATGGTGATAACATAGAGAAATGTAAAAGTAACATTAAGAAACAAACAGTTGCAATAAAAATTAGAAAGAAGGAGCAAATACATAGAGAAGTATTGATACTGAAGGAAAGAGAAAGGAGGGATACAGGCATGGGTGCAGAGAGGAGTATATGAAAACACAGAGAGAGAAAATGAATGGAAGAGATAAAAAATTGTGCAGAAAATATAGTAGGAGAGAAAAAAGCGACAGAACACAAGGATGAAATATATATGAATTCGTATAGAAAATATGATTGGGAGAGGAAAAGAGAGATAGAAACGAATGTGAGATACGTAAGTGGCATAAAGGTTTGACAAAAAAGTAGAACGAAAAGGTAGAAAATGTATGAATGTTGCAATGAAACAGACAATAATTAACATATAGTGAAGAACAGTGCTTTACTGGGCATTAGGAGTTTAGGAATAAACACGAGCAGCGACATTAATCAGATGTAAACAATGTATATTTTACTCTGCACAGCTTATAGAAGATTAACTTTTGAAATCCAAAGTTGGATTTAAAATTCTTAACTGTGAGCCGTGAATAGGTGCAGAGAGAAAAATAATGAAACTGGTATAGATTTGTTCAGAACATATAGTAGGAAGAGAAAAGATAGGTAAAAGAAACGGATGAAAGATATATGACTAGGAGAGGGAAGCAAAGAAAGAGGGACGAGTGAGTGAGATATGTATAAATTAAACTTAAGAGCTAAAAGACAGTAGGACAAAATATATTAATAGAGAATTGAGTAGAAGGAGAGAGATCGATATAAAGATAACAGCTGCAATGAAACAAGTAACGTAAATGGTTGGACAACAAGTGAGCTGACCCTTGACATGCTAGACACTAAGTGTATCTTCATCTTATTACTCCATATCACATGAAGCTTAAAACAAGAGGTCAGTAAATAAAACACTGTGGGTGAAAGAAACAAATCTAAATTGCAAAGTAAGCATTTATTGTTAAGTTGTTTTTATGGAATTTTACTTGATGAGACAAAGCGGCTTCTGAACGTAGGTACACAATTTCTTACTTCACATGCCCGAAATATCTGGAAACATGACAATTTCTTATCTGGAAACATGAAATCTAGGCAATAAAGATAGTTTTCAGAAATAGATATAAATAAAAAATAAATGACTCGATATCATTAAGTTAATAACATTTCACATCAAAAGACTTCTAATTAACTATTGTATTTTTGTGAAACAGCCCTGTAGTGTCTTACCACTGCACTCTTTGCCAGTGGTGGCTTGCCCCTTGACATGTTGGACATTCCCTTTCAGTGGTTACTTACCCCTTGATATCCTGGACATTCCCTTTCAATAGTAGCTTGCCCCTTGACATTTTGGACATCCCTTTCGGCGGTGGCTTGCCACTTTGTATGCTATACATTTGTTTTCTGTCGTGGCTGTCTGACTGAAATGCTAAAAATTCCCTTTCAGCGGTACTGTGACCCTTGACATGCTAAGCACTTTCGTTCATTGGTGACTTGCTGCTTGGCATGCTAAACATTTTCGTTCATTGGTGACTTGCTGCTTGGCATGCTAAACATTTTCGTTCATTGGTGACTTGCTGCTTCACATGCTAAGCACTCCCTTTGTGTGGTGGCTTATCTCTTGATATGTTGAACACTGTTTCATTGATGGCCGACCATTGGCGTGCTGTTCACTCTCTATTTTTAGTGGTAGCTTTATATAATTTACACTAAGTGTATATTTAATCTTTATTGTATTATTTCACTTATGAGTAGGTCATAATGATATCTGCCAAGTTCTATATATTTTAATTAATAACTTGTAAGCTGTTTAAATCACAAATAGGAAGCATAAAAGGATTCAAGTATAGAAACAAAAAATCTGGACAAATAAATGGCATCTACTGAGAAACAAAAGGAAAGTAACATTAACTGGATCCAGAAAAGTTAATGTTTAAAAAAATATTCAAAAACAAAAAATTTAAAAGATATTGAATTGCCATCACACTTTTACAGTTTTCCTTATATTTTTGTTTTTTTGCAGGTGATGCTTCAGAAGACACTGTAGAAAACAAGTACGTACAAATATATCTCCTTATACAACGGAATACATTTCATACCTCTTCATCAAAAACAGTTGCTAGGTTTTACCATATAACACAAAACATTAACAAAGAAGTTGGACTATTGGAGTATTATTCATTATTTTAAAGTTAATATGCCCTTTTTTGCACAAAGTAATGTAATGCTAGAATTAACTATCGTGAGAAATACTAAACCCATAATAAAATAGCTTAACTTTGGAGCACTTTCATGGTCTTGTGGTCTCAACGTTTATAAGCTGCTCTTCTGTTTGTTAATTTGATACGCTCTATTTATGTTCACGAAAGTGGAATATATATATATATAACGTTTTAATATTGAACTTAACTGTAAAAACATCTCGTGAATTAATGAGCTTCTATTGTGTTTTAAATACATATTGGGGTTTTAACGTAAATAACACGGAGGTTCCTAAGTGGTTCTGTTTATCCCTGAAACAAAATTAGGTGTATTATGGGAGGTACAAATTAAACAACTGGTACATAATTGGTTATGTAAGTATCAGTACAGAGCTACTTCTTGACGTTTTGATGACAGAGTGTTTTTTTGGTAACACGTTTCTGGTTCTTATTTTAGGTACAGCGCAGTATCCGAGGGAATGGTGACAAACAATAACGTAGACTCAAGTGATCCCGATCTGATTCCGTTACGTAATTTCATGACGAGTAGGTAAAAAGTTTCATTTAATTGTAATCAGCTGGGTTTAAGGCTTGTTCTTCTGAACCAGATTTGTTTGAAAGTGGAGCCAATATTGCATTTAAGGAAGATTAAAACATAGCTAACAATTAATATGAAATGTTTGTTTACCAATCGAAAACATTTTAATGCACATTTTATCTATTTTCGGAACCTTTTAGACAACGTAAGAGCTTTTAACTTAACTTAATAAAGAAATCTGTTAACGCAGGCTTGTGTTTGAAACAAACTTTGCTAAAACACTGTGTTTAAGCACTACTTACTTCCTTAATACCTGCCTTTGGGCATTGTTTACTTCCTTGAAGCCTGCGTTTAGGCAGTGTTTACTTCCTTAATGCTTGCCTTTAGGCATTGTTTACTTCCTTAAAGCCTGCGTTTAGGCACTGCTTACTTCATCGAAGCCTGTCTTTAGACACTGTTTACTTCCTTAAAGCCTGGGTTTAGGCACTATTTACTTCCTTGAAGCCAGCGTTTAGGCACTGTTTACTTCCTTGAAACCTGCGTTTAAACACTGTTTACTTCCTTGAAGTCTTAAGAAAAATATTCTAATCGTATTCAAGACAGCCTCTTTAAAGTTGAAAAAAGTACAGAACTATAATGTCATCCTTAAGAGTTTAACTTACATAATATCATCAAATAACGGATAATTTACTGAACTCTAGATCCTAAAAATAACGACTTTTTCGGCCTTGGTCAGAAAAATGTAAATGTACAGCATTATTGCGTTATAAGTAGAAATAATTTTGAACAATAACTTAAAAAGTGTTCTCGTCTTATTCGTTCCAAGAAGTAAAAAATAAAAGGCAGAGACATAAAACTTTTCGCTTCATTCTCAAGATTTTCTAGTTGTTTCTCATCCTGAATATAGCAGATCTAAGGTTAATTTTGAAGGACTTTGAGTTTTTACTGTCAAAATGAGTAGAAGCTGTTGAAGATTTAACTAATAATAGATGTTCTTAAAATAATACTAGGATTAAGAAAACGACAGAAATTAGATTATGCACATTCTTAGACGACCACAATGAACGTAAAGAAAGCAGAAAGACCTTGAGTAGACTTAACTTTAGCTTTTCAACGATTATATGTGTAAAAGAGATAGCGATCAGAGATGGAAAAGAAAGACATTGTGTACATGAATGATACTTAAAAAGAGTGATAATCCGATAAATTGAAAAACATTCAATATGTACGAGTGTGATTAACAGATTTAAAAAGCAGCACTGTGTAAATGTGGGAAAGAGAATGTTAAAATATACGCAAACAAAAATCGCATGAGATCGGTTAATAGAAAGACAAATTAACGTGTGTGTGTTGTTTAACTAATAAATTGAATTTTAATCAGTATGGTATGGAGACAGGCCGATAGATTCAAATCGAATCGACTTAAAAATGGAGAGGTAAATGTGTGCATGAGAAAGAATTTGATAAAACGAACCAGTGTTTTATATGTACGTATGTATATGTTTGTATGTGAAAGAACGATTGATTGGTGATAGGAAAACAGTGAATGTCAAAACAAGATTTTTTTTTAGAGCAAAGCCATATTGAGCTATCGGCTGTGTCCACTGCGAGAAATAGAACCACGGATTTGAGTTCTAAATCCGTAGACTTATTAGTGTCCCACCAGGGGACCGAGAAATAGAATATGCCCTAGTCTGTTTTATTTTAATAGTCAAGAGACTGTTGTGCGGGACGAATGAAGTAAAATGCATCCTGTCCAGAGTAACACTAGGGAAAGTAAACTTCGTCTTCTTCAGAGTAGGACTAGTAAAGTAAAATTCGCCTTCTTCAGAGTAGGACCAATAAAGGAAATTTTTCCCTGTCTAAAGCAGAACTAGAAAAGTAAAATCACCTTGTCTAGAGTAGGATTAGAAAAGTAAATTCACCTTGTCTAGAGTAGGACTAGAAAGTAAATTCACCTTGTCTAGAGTAGGACTAGCAAAGTAAATTCACCTTGTCTAGAGTAGGACTAGAAAAGTAAATTCACCTTGTCTAGAGTAGGACTAGCGAAGTAAATTCACCTTGTCTAGAGTATGACTAGCAAAGTAAATTCACCTTGTCTAGAGTAGGACTAGCAAAGTAAAGTCACCTTGTCTAGAGTAGGACTAGCAAAGCGAAATTTTCCGTGTCTTAAGACTAACTGGTCAGTCGTGCAATGATGATAAGAGAAGAGAAGGAAATATTTTAACAATATAAAATATCTTATAAGTTATCTTGCAGTCAAAGTTGTTTTTCATAATAATCTAAACATTGTCAAGATGAGACTTCATTAAATCGATTTTTATAGCACAGATAACGTAAGAGGCCCAAATAATTTATACGATGAAAATGTGCAATATTTGAAAATACTAAAGCCTGTTCAAATTATTTTGATAAATAAAGAGATAAATCAGAATTTTTCAATTAATTATCTAATACTTATTTTGTTTGAAGTTGAATAACACAGGGAATTAATTTCCAAGTCTGACTTTATCTCAGGAATAACTTGCTTCGCTTAATTCAGAAACTTGATGGAAATAAAGAAACAGTGACATTGGAAGACATTATAAAAATTAACAAAATGGGATGCGAAAGTAAGTAAAAGATTGGGAGAATGGAACGAATACGATAAGCGAGAGAAAGAAATTATAAAAAGAACGGTAATTACGTTAGTGTTAGTTTGTTGAATATTACCAGATCGTTATCATCCCAAGCGTTAACCCTCTAGCTTTGTAACGAGCACTCATTTGGCCTCAAGTTGTTCTTGTTTTTTTCGTAACTGTGCTGAGAAAATGAAACGTGTGTCGAGTAGAATTTGTTTTCGTAATTTCCAGCTTTTCAGGTCTCATGATTGAACATTTAAACACACCAATACACGCTTCCCAAGTTACACGTGTATATATATCGTAAAAGAGTTCAGCTTCAATATTTATTTTTTAGACTTCCAAAGAACCAATACTCTTAGGAAGAAAGAACCACCAATCAGAAAGTGCACTTTTAACAGTGGTAAGTTGACCATATAGTTTTTTCCTTTATAAACGTCGGTAAGTTCTTAAGGTCTGTTTGTTTATTTGTGAATTTCGCACAAAGCTACTAGAGGGCTACTTGCACTAACCATCCCTCATTTAAAAGTGATAGACTAAAGGAAAAGCAGCTAGTCAACACCACCCACCGCCAACTCTTGGGCTACTTTTTACCAATGACTAATGGGCTTGGCCGTCACATTATAACGTTCCTTCGGCTGAAATGGTAAGCATGTTGGACGACGGGATTCGAACCCCCAACAATTACCTTGCGAGTCGAGTGCCCTAACCACCAGGCCATGACTTGTTAATAAAAGTCTGTTGATCCCCATTGTAATCACATGTTAACTCTTACCACGCTGAAGAGAGGTTAAGTTAGACCTGGTTGTATCATACTAACACTGAAATATGTATAGTTTCTTGTAGAAATTGAAATTAATCATAGTGAAGTTGTAAACATCGTTTTTCAATATTATTTTTAGTTATTTTAAAACCCAGTAAATACAAACAGGCATTAGGTGCACATAAAATTTAATGCTATTTTTGTTTCCTTAATAATAACCAAGTTTTGCCTTTTCTATTGTATTTCAATGGTTGATGAAACAAGCTCATCGCGCTGGAGACTCAACAGACAGACAGAAAATATGCAAAGACTTAGAGATTATTCTGTTGAATGAAAGTTCTTATCACAACACTTGCTTTGTAGTTTTTAGTGGCATTAAGGATTTTCGACTTTTTAACAGTTTCAAATGATATGCACAGCAACCATAGCGCTCTTACGCTAGCATTGGCTTAGCTACTTAAACTTGAGAAAATATACTTGTTATAACTGACATTACTGATAAAATTCATTTTCATAACAGCGAGCCGATCTTTATATTACGAAAAACAAAGAGATTGTGACGAGTATAGTAACACCTCCTCTCCGGAAAGACATTCTCTCAAGAATAACAAATCTCTCGATGAGGTAAGAAGTGACTACGTAGCAACCATGTTAATAGAAGATTTTATATCCTTACTGCAACATGCATTAGTATGTTTTATGATATAATACTATATCATACTATCATAACACAATTGATCTTTGTGTAATTTGTTATCACATTTATCAATATCCCTAATAACCACTAGATAATACCATCACAACACGATTGTTCTTGAGTTTCATATGGATGTATGTGTATTTTTTGATCACATTTATCAATAGCCCTAATAACCACTA